CTCACCACGCCCCCGCCACGCCCACTCGTCCACAGGCAGATAGCCGCTCACCACGCCCCCGCCACGCCCACTCGTCCACAGGCAGATAGCCGCTCGCCACGCCCCCGCCACGCCCACTCATCCCCACATAGGCAGATAGCCGCTCACCACGCCTCCGCCACGCCCCCTTGTCTCCCTGGGAACGAATGGAGATGAGGCCTGGAGGCGGGGCCGTTGAGGTGCGGGGATTCTGGGAGAAGCGGGCGAAGCAGCTGCGGCATCAAGTGCAGGTGCGCATGAGAAGAGCCTGGGGTTGGGGTCTCCCTCCCCACAGGCCTAGGGAGACAGGAGATCGTTTGGGGGGGTCTGGGTTACTGCACTGAGCAAACCTGGGCTTCCCGGGGTGGCAGGCCTGACTGTCCCCCCAGGCGCTCCCAGTCCTCCCTCCCCCCAAAGCGCTCTCCCTCCTAGGAGACCCCTTCAACTGCAGTGGTGTCATTTGCAGGAAACTGGATGGAGCTAGAGATCATGGCCAATGAAATAAGCCAAAGTCAAATATTGCCTGTTGTCTCTCATATGTGAAATAAAGTCCTTAAGAATAAATGACAGGGATGCAAATCGGTTCTGTCCAGGGTTGGAGAGGGCAAAAGGGATGTGAGGATGGGGAGTGTGGTCTTTGTTTTTCTTATATTTTTAATTTAATTTTGGTCTTTGCTTTTCTGCACATGTATAGAAATAGGATCACAGAGCATGTTCCAAGAGAGGAGCAAAGGAGCAGAGTAGCTGGGTGAATTTGAACAAAGTGCGTTGAGTGTAAAATCGGGGGGGGGGGGAAGAAGCGGCACTCCCTAAGCGCAGAGGCTCCCGGTGCCCCCGGCTGGGCAGATGCTGCATGGTGGGGTGTCTACTTGAGCACTCCACTTGGGGCCTCCGGTGCTGAGCCCCGTGTGAGTGTTGGGACTCCCTTCCTGCGCCTACCTTCCCACAAGAGTAGGCCAAAATTATTGGGTCCCAACTACTCTCCCCCAATTAGCTGTTGAGCCAAGGCTCATGACAGAAGAGGCACCACCCTACTGACTCCAGCCCGGGTGTGGGCAGCCCAGGAGAAGAGGAAGGAGCCCAAGCCATCCCCTCAGGCTGTCCTGCCTGAGGCTGCCCCTCCTGCCCCACCCTGTGGCCATGGCTGGAGTAGCAAGAACCTTTCTCAGGAGGCAGTGTTTCTGAGGTGTGTCTTTGTGCCCAAACTGCTGCTTATAAAGACAGCGCCCACCAGGCCTTAGGGTGAAACATCTGTTCACACTTCGGCCTTGGCCGGTGAACGTCTACCGCGCTGTCTCTGTAGACACTGGCCTGCCCCCACAGAAATCCTGCCCCTTGACCTATGAAAACTTTTCTCCCCAGTAGCTTGTTACTTTTCTGGAATGTTCCAGAATGGCTGCTTTTTCATCAACCCCCAGCCAGCCTCTGAACACCTTTGCCACCACGGAGTTCAAGTCCTGGGGACTGCATTTCTCCCTCCCCTGCTCCCCATGTGCCATGGTGGAGGGTCGCGTGGAAGGCCCAGCCTGCACGAGCTGGCCTGCGCAGTCTGTGTAGGAGTCCTGGGCCCCGCACTGGCCTCTGTGCTGCCTGGCTGAGGCTGCTCCATCCTCTGAAATCCATTGTTCCCGTTCAGCCGAGTGCCAAGTGCTGTGTTGCTCATTTTCCTTTTTGGATCCTTGGTGTAGGTCAAAGAAGAAAGAATAGTTGAACTGGAAACAGAAAATGCTGTTCTTCATTTGAAGTTGGCAGAGGTAACACGTTAAATGCCTTGTAGGTATGAGTGATTTCGTGTGTGGAGGCTGGGGTTAAATGCCTTGTAGGTATGAGTGATTTCGTGTGTGGAGGCTGGGAGGCGCTGTGGGGTGGGGGAAGGGCAGTCTGGACGGCCACTCAGGGCGGGAGCGTGGGGGCCCAAGGCCCACTCAGACGCTGTCCCTGGTCATAAGGCACACCCCCAGTGGGTGTTACCTTCCAACCTACACCTTGCGGGGAGCCTCCACTCCATAGCCTCACCATCACACTCCTGAAACCACAGGGCTTAGACCTCAGGCCAAGCTCCTGTTCCATGGGACAGGCCTGGCCACTCACCCCTGCGTGCCAGGCGGAGGCCCTGAGAGGCAGAGAAAGGTGGATCATGTGGCCGGGGCAGCCGTGGGGAGACAGCGCTTCAGCCCATCTCCAGGATGCAGACAAGCTACTCGATTAATAGGAAGCAAGGGGCATGCGGGGCTGAGGGCTGGGCCGGCTTCCGTGGCCTCTGGGTCCTCAGCAGGGAGCAGTCAGTACTGAGCAGGCCCTGCTGGCCCCATGGAGACAGCCTGCTCCTGAAGAGTCTGGAGAGAGAACAGCTTAGAACCAGAGAGCCACAGAACAGTGGCAGAAATGCTTTTCTCTTGCTTTTAATTTGTGGACCCTGCAAAAGTAGCTTTTCAACTCTAATGACCCCCCCAAAGCCCAGGAAACAGACCACAGAGGCAGCTGTGCAGGTCTGCCCTCAGTTCCCATTGTCCCTTTGATCAACAAAGCCATTCATTGGCCTGCACCTCCTTCCTCCTCACCAAGTTTAAGGCCATTCACTGGCCGCTTCCCAGCCTCCCCACAGAGCTGTGACGAATCGGACTGGGCTCACTTTGGAGATGTGTTGGTGTCAGTGGTTTTGTGTCGTCTTCCTTTTCTTCTCCTCATGGACAAATGGAGCCTGTCACTGTAGCCTCCGGCCCCAGCCCACCTGCCAGCAGCACCGCAGTCCAGGGTGACTGCTCAGCTGAG